TTCCCCATCACACCTGTGCTCCAGGCCTTGCACCAGCTCCGTTCCCTTCTCTGGACATGATGGATGCTCTTGCCAAAATGCAGCCCCTGGCACAGCATTTGCACAGCAAACCATGCAGATGCCAGCACTGTAGGACAATTCCAGTCTCTTTCCACCACTGGGATCTGTGGGCAATGCTGGAGTTGACCAGAGGATGCTCAGGCTTTCCAGTTGAAATCTGCATTAACCCTACGTAAACGCCCTCCTCCTATAACTGGACCTGCTTGTTTTACTTGTCCCTTTTGGAGCAGGCAGAAGCTCACACTAATGTTCTCCCCACAGATGTATAAGGACCAGCCAGATGCTGGACAGGGAGCAAGTCTCAAACAGGATCACCCTTTCCAACCTGCTCTAGCGCAAAGTGTCCCTGCCTGTGGCAGGGGGTTGGAACTGGATGAGCTTTAAGGTCCCTTTCAACCCAAATCATTCCATGATTCCATGGTTTTCTGCATAAGAAACCCCAAGAAACACTGTCATCGCTGGAAGCAGAGGGGCTTTGATCCTGATTCCAAAGCATCTAGGGCAATCTGCTGTACTCCTGTTGTTCTCCATGGGGTTTGAGTTGGGCTAAATGAGAGGTTCTGGGTCTTCTTGGATGGGGTGTTCAGGTGGCCAGGCTGCAGCAGAGCTCAAGAGCTGATGAAGCTCTTCTCATATCCAGACATCAGGCCTTGCTTTCCTCCATGGACCACCTCCTGCTAAGTGTCTTCTTGGCCTTCTATTGAAAACACAGGAATAGGGAGGAAAATCAGTTAAAAGAAAGAAAACACTGAGGGACACTTCAACCTGACAGTATCTCCTTCCCCTGTAGCTGTGGATGTTTTCCCATCAAACAGGGATGAATTGGCTCCATCAGAGCTGCCTACATCTGCCTTTCCTGCAGAAAACCCAGTGCCCGTGGGCCGCTGAGCTGGTGCATGACGATAAATCACGTTGAGCACCTCATGGGGGAGACAACATGCAGGAAAAATACCTCTGAGAGAAAATGGGAGCAGGAAAAGCAGAGCAGGGAGAGCACATCCCACAGGACCTGTTTTGGAGACAAGGACGGGGCATCATCCCCTGGCTGGGGATGGGGACAGAAGTGAAGCCACAGGCAGCACCAGTGGGCACTGTGTCTATCCTGCTGTGCTGCTGGTGCTGGGGATGGAACCCTCACCCCTGTTCCTGGGAAGGGGTATCCTGGTGTGAACACGGACAGCAGGAAGAGTACAGCCCTCCCTGTCTGCACTGACCTGTGGGGTCTCACCTGAGAGGTCCGCTCGGTTCATTCCTACTCCACACACTTTGCTTGCAGGAGGAGACCCACTTGTTCACATAACTCAGTCTGAAGTCTATCAACAATCATTTCATACGGAAGTCTGTGAATATCTACCAGGAAACCTGTGAAAAACCATATAGGAACCTGGTTTTTCTGGCCTTGGACACCTCGCCTCTGTGCTGCCCAGATTCCCTGCAGGGAGAAAATACTTTGGGACTTACTACAAATCATCTTCTCCCCTTCCCAGTGTCTGCCTTGACACCAGAAGATAAATCATAGAAGCAGCTTATTTTACTGGACTAGGTGACCTCTGCAGGTCCCTTCCAACCCCAATTATTCTATGATTCTGTTCCTTTGAGCAAGAGAAGGGGCATTTATGGGTTACTTTTAATACCCTCCAGTGGGTCAGGGGCAGAGAGTGGGATGCCCACACATGTGGATGAAGCAGGGGTAGGACACACTGCAAAGAGGGTTTTGGAGACACAGGGATATAGAACTGTGCCCCCTTTTTTCCTTTTAGAGATCCAGCACATCCTTTCAGCAGCAGTTTTACTGCGTCACGCTTGGTTCACACGGTGCTGCCCATGCCAGGAACAAACTCCACCCTGGAGAGTCCTGCTCTGCAGGCACTTAACACCCACAGCACGAGGCACAGAGCATCGGCTGATACCCACCTCCAGGAGCGATTACTAGCTAGCAGGGCTGGGCTCCCGTAGCTGCAGAATGGGCGGCACAGGGTGAATATGCATAAACAAAGTCTGGACACGTCTTGATAGCAAAATGTTTATCTCCAGCCTGCCCCCACCCAGCGGCTGCTTGGCCACCATGAGTCAGCTCCTTTCTTGCAGGCTTTGTGCCAGAAGTGGGGTTAAAGCAGCAGATTAAAGTCTTCATTTTATCCTCCCTAAAAAATACGAATCCTCCAATTTGCCTGCAATAAACACGCAGGTTTCACATCAAAACAGGTCCTCAAAGCAGACTTCCCAGTACCCAACCACAGAAATAGCAGGATTGCACCTTACCAACACTCTGTAAGTGTGATTTCCAAAGACAAATGCCACACAACCCCCCAAAACGCCACACACAGAACAAAGGGAAGTGGCATTTTCCAGGAGCAAAACGCCTGCCCTGCTCAAGCTTGCATGCTGACCCCTGGCTCCCCGTCTCCCCCCAAGCCCTCAAGGCTCCTAAGGACACACAGACTCAGCGGAGACTTCACAGATGAGCTTTATTTGGCTGTTAGAAGCTGTTGGCTCCACCGCAGCATGTCAGCGGGTGCTGGAGGATGCTGCCAGGGCTTTGGTGCTGCTCTTTAGTGGTACTTGCGGGCCAGCGCGTGGGCCACCACACGGACCAGCTTCTGCCAGGCAGCCTGGCAGTCGGGGCTGAAATCCTTCCCAAAGTGGGCGGCCAGGACGATGATCAGGATGTCACCCAGGAGCTGGGGGAACAAGAGCACCCTGGGGTTAGCAGCAGCCTGCACATCCCCATGCCAAGCACTTGTATCAGACCCAGGGAAACCTCTTGGCATTTCCTGTGGTTAAAAGTCTCCCTGGAGTCCTTAAGATAGACCATAGGCTTGTTCCCTGCTCTTACTCTAAAGATATGGGTTTGCTGCTCCTATGGGGAGAGTGAGCAAAAATTCTCCAGGAATTTTGTGGATTAAATTTTAATTTTTCCCTTCTGGCTCCATCTGGGAGTTTCCCCGGAGCAGAACTCACAGCTCCAGTTCCTTTTCTGCTTTCAGCATCTAGCCGCTGTCTCTTGCCCCTCACTCACGTCTCCTTTCTCCTCCATGCCAAGATTTACTCTCGCTCCTTCGCTTGCCTTTGGCTCAAACCTCTTCCTGCTCAACAACTGCTTTCACTTTACTCCTCCCTCTCGCCTTTCCGCACTGAAACCACCTCCTTGCCCCCTTCCCGTCGTCATCCTGGCTACCACCCTCCAAAGGCTTCACCATTACCCAACACCTCCCAGCCCCTTCAGTGCTTTTACACCAAGCTGCAGGTTGGTCTCTTCCCTCTCTGTCCCTCTCCTGCATCTCCCCCTTGCCCCAGCCACCAGCCCCTCTTCCTCCTGCACTGGCACGTCTTGGGTACATCCCTCCCGTGGTGGTGGGATAGGTGATGTGGTGGGAGCCCGGCTCACCCTGAAGTTCTCAGGGTCCACGTGCAGTTTGTCGCAGTGCAGCTCAGACAGCTGGGCAAAGGTGTTCTTGATGTTGTCCAGGTTCTTCACGGCATCCCCGAAGGAGGTGAGCACCTTCTTGCCATGGGCACGCACCATGGGGTTGCCAAGGACGGCGGTGGCACTGGACAGGTTCCCGAAGGAAGAGAAGAACCTCTGGGTCCAGGGGTAGACGATCAGCAGCCTGCAGGGAGACAAGACACGGACACGTTAATGCTCCAGAATGGAAGTGCCGCAGTTCCTCTGTCCATGGTGCAGATCCCAGGGGCTGGACCTACCTTGCCAGGGTTTCAGCACTGGCCAGGGCCTCCGCACCACATTCGGCCACATTGACCTTGCTCCAGAGGCCGGTGATGAGCGGCTTCTCTTCGGCTGACCAGTGCACCATGGTGTCGGGTGGAGGGTAGCGTGTGGCTGCCGCGGGTACGGAGGAGGTCTGGGCTCTTGCTCCCGAGGGGTCGCACGCTGGCGACCAGCGCTGCCCGTCCACACTTTTATACTGTGTGCCAGGCTCCTCCTCCTCCCCCTGCACCCCCCCATTGGCTGCGCCCGCGGGGGCCCCGCAGCCCTGGCACCCCGAGGGAGGGGACATGGTGTCAGGGTGGGGCCCTGGGGCAAGATGCCCAGAGCCTCACGGATGCGTTCCCTCCCCGTCCTCTGATTTCCAGCTCCCGATGAACGGGCACTGGGAGGGTGGTGAGTGATTGGAACAGGCTGCCCAGGGCAATGGTGGAGTCACCATCCCTGGAAGTGTTCATACACCGTGTAGACAAGGCCCTCAGTGAAATGGGTTAGTGGTGGCTTTGGGACAACGGTTGGACTTGGTGATCTTAATGGGCTTTTCCAACCCGGTTGATTCTGTGCTTTATCTCCACCCAAAGCCCCAGCACGGCAAAAGGAAGTTGTGTGCAAGGTTTGATGCCTTCTAGATGGTGCAAACCATTATGGCTGTGTGGCTGCAAAGCCAAAGACCTGGGCTTGGGGCTGTTGAGTTCTCCCTCTGAATGCACCAGTGTGTGAGGGATTTCTCTTTGTCCTCCTCTTGCAAGACATGTCAGGCTTTGGGTTCTCCTTGTTCTTTCCAAACAGCTATTTAGCAGTTGATAACTTAATTCTTCCCCGTGAGAGTGCTGAGGTGCTGGTGCAGGGTGCCCAGAGAAGCTGTGGCTGCCTCATCCCTGGCAGTGTTCAAAGTGAGTGTCTGGGAGCAACCTCCTGTAGTGGAAGGTGTCCCTGCTCGTGGCAGGGGGTTGGGACGGGAGGAGCTTTAAGCTCCCTTCAAGCCAAACCATTCCAGGATTCCATGATTGTATGACCCTGGGTCCAGGCCTGGGGGTGACCCTGTTCCCAGCCCTCCTCACTCAACAGCGCAGTGTTTACTGCAGACGTGCTCCGGAGTCTTTGCCTCCTCCCTGATAAGAGGAGGGAGAATTCACCACCCAGAAACCTCAAACACTCCCTGAGCAGCTCTCGGTGCTGCGGGGATGCTGCAGCCCGAGATGGGGATTGAGTCTGGGGAGGGCCGTGGGCTTCTGTGTGTCACGGAGACTGCTCAGGGAATTTCTCTTTGCTTGGACAGCTCTATATAGGGGCCAGTGAGAGCAGATGCTCTGTCCTTCCTGGGAATGAAATTAACATTCTTGTCATATTTTTTACCGTAATACATAGTTGTGTCTATCACATTCAGCCTTTAATAATAACAGAATCATAGAATCCCAGCCTGGTTTGGGTTGAAGGGACCTTAAAGCTCCTCCAGCTCCAACCCCTGCAACAGGCAGGGACCCCTTCCACTAGAGCAGGTTGCTCCAAGCCCCTGTGTCCAACCTGGCCTTGAACACTGCCAGGGATGGGGCAGCCACAGCTTCTCTGGGCACCCTGTGCCAGCGCCTCAGCACCCTCCCAGGGAACAGCTTCTGCCTCAGAGCTCATCTCAGTCTCCCCTCTGGCAGGTTCAAGCCATTCCCCTTGGCCTGTCCCTACAGGCCCTTGTCCAAACTCCCACATAGTCTGAGAATGATGATGATATAGACAAAAAAAACAACAAAAAAAGCATTTTTCCTTCCCTGTAGGACATGACAAGTGATTGGCCACATCTCCCACTGCATGTTTTTGTACTAAGTTTTGTTCAACTTAACCCATGTAAGACTTAAAACATCAAACCCAGTGATGTTACCTCATGTCTCAGTATTTCTGTTTGTGTTTTGTAGTGTGTTTCAGTTTTGTCTTGGATGTTCCCCTGGATTCTCCACCTTAAACAAGTCTCATTTGCATGAATTCATAGACAGGACCATGCCCCTTGTTACCCTGTGTGTGTGAGCATCCCATTCCCCAGCACTGGTGGGTGCTTCCCAGCCCATTCCCACAGACAGGCGACACCTCCTCATGGCTGTTGGTGTTTATTTGGCAGTGACAGACCAGCAGAACCAGAGGATGTTTCCCCGGGAGCTGGGAGCACCCCCATGCAGCAGCGCCTCAGAGGCTCAGTGGTACTCGTGGGCCAGCGCGTGGGCCACCACACGGACCATCTTCTGCCAGGCAGCCTGGCAGGCGGGTGTGAAGTCCTTCCCGAAGTGCGAGGCCAGGACGATGATGAGGATGTCACCCAGGAGCTGGCAATGGGGGGAGGAGAAGACGTCAGCCTGCAGGTCCCCCCCTCCGTCCCCACCATCACTCCACCAGTCACGTGTGGACAGACACTGGTTACTGGGGAATTCATCCCAAAGGAACAGATGTATCACAGCCCATGTTCATTGCACAGGCTGCACCTCCGGCACTCACCAGGATGCCTGGATGTGCTGGATCCTCCTCCCCAAATGCCTCCCTTTGCCTGCTGTGCAGTGTCTTCCCTCTGCTTCAACTGGGTTTATCTTTTGCTTTCAAATCCCAGCCCACTTTTGCTCTCCCTTGGATCAGGTCCCGTCCTTCTACTGAAGTGCCTGTGTTCATTTTCTCTCCTGGTTTAACCTCTGATCACAGCCAAGCTCAACTCTTCCCTCCAAACCCTGTCTGGTTTCTTCCCTTCTGGTCTCTGGCTGCTCCAAGCCAGCTTTGCTTCCTACCAGCACGTATTTGACTCTGCATTTCATTCCCATCCTGGGTCCCTCCTCTCACAGATCCCAGCCCTGTAACTCCTCTCTATTCTCCCCACTTATGCCTATCCACTACCCCTTCCCCTCCACATCTTGCCCTCAGCAAGGCCCCAGGCTCCTGGGTTCTCTGTAGGTCACAGGGACTGTCAGACACCTCAGAGACCCCTAAAGCCTCCTCCAGAGAAGAGAAACCTCTTCCGTGACCCACGCTTGGCTCACCCTGAAGTTCTCGGGGTCCACGTGCAGTTTGTCACAGTGGAGTTTGCTCAGCTGAGCAAAGCACTTCTTGATGTTGTCCAGGTTCTTCACGGCATCCCCGAAGGAGGTGAGCACCTTCTTGCCATGGGCACGCACCATGGGGTTGCCAAGGACGGCGGTGGCACTGGACAGGTTCCCGAAGGAGGCGAAGAACCCCCGGGTGCAGG